TGACTTCTTGAGCTCAGCCAGCCTACGGGCAGCATTGTAAGCTGGCTCTCCAGGATTCCTGACGAGCCCCAACATTTTGAATAAAAAAAAAACCTTCGGCCTGGCCATTCTCAGAAAGAGGAACCCGAAGTAGGATGTGGTTTTACAATCAGAGGATGGGGATCTCGGCAGTGGTGTCAGGGCGGTGGCGGGCGGTGTGCACGCCAGGCCTCTCCCAGCAGCTCTGCCTCCAGCGCGGGGCGACGCTGGGCCCTTCCGGCACGGCCACCGGGGCGTCTGTCTCCCACTCAGCATTTCCTTTTAACTGTTTTTAAAAGTCATTTAAATCTAGAAGGATGTGACTTTAGGTTGGGGAAGTATTTTTCTAAAGAATAAAAATCAGCCCTGGCTGGCGTGGCTCACGTGGTCCTGGAGACCGAAAAGTTGCGGGTTGGATTCCCAGGCAGGGCACATGCCCAGGTCACATGTTTGATCCCTGGTTAGGGCGCGTATGAGAAGGCAACTGATCGGCATTTCTCTCCCACATCGATGTTTCTGTCTCCCTCCCCCCACCCTCCTTCTTCTCTCTCTAAAAGTAATGAAAAAATGTCCTTGGGTGAGGATTTAAAAAAAAGAGTAAAAATCATAAAACATAAAGGAAAAAAGATTGATAAATTTGCTGCATCAACAGTAAAAACTTCTACTCATGAAGAAAAAAAACCCCACTATAAACAAGGTGAAAAGATAACTCCAACTAGGAGATAATTTCCAACTCATTTAATCAACAAAAGAATCCGCTCTAGAGAATACGAAGAAACTCTGCAAGCTAACAAGAAAAAAGACGAATAACTCCACAGAAAAAGGGGTGAAGTTTATAAGCAGGCTCTTTGGAGAAGACAAAGCTTTTATGGAAAACTAGGGAAATGCAAATTAAAATAACAAGAGCATTTTATTTCATTTCATTTATTTTATCTTATTATGCCTGTCTGATTGGCATAAATGAGGCAGTTTGACAGCACTGTTTTCAAGAGGGAGGAGGAGGATTAAGTGTTGCTGTCGCTGGTGGCCGCCGCCATGCTCCTTTGGTAAAGGTGCTGCTGTGGGCGTACCTGCCACAGGCTCTCCTTCTGACCTGACACCTCCACACCGAGCGAGCACCCTGGACCCATGCTGTCCAGGAGCCACCAGCTGGCCTGCTGGCCACACACCGCTCGGGAGCACCTAACTCGGGAGGGTAGGACTGAGGAATGGAACTTGTAAACATTTTATTTAATTTTAATTCATTTCGGTGTAAGAATGAATACTTAAATTCATTTATTTGAAAACTTTTGAAAGCATATTTGGGGCAACTTGAGTCTATGAGCCTACTTTTTTACCAGTCAAGTGTATGAAATCCACTTAGAGATGAAAATCTATTGTGTGAATTGTAGAATACAGACCAGATTTCAAAATAATAGGAAAAAGAATGTAAAATATAGCTCCTTCGTCATTTTTCTATATTGACAACATCAAAATGAGCATGTTTTGGATATAGTAGGTTAAATAAAATATATTAATTTTATCTATGCCTTTTTTTTTTTTTTAATGTGGCTACCGGTAACTTTACACTCCGCATGTGGTTCACACTATATTTCTCTTGGAGAATATTCATCCCGGACTCTGGCGCACACAAGGGGAGGCCAGCAAGAATATACATTGTAGCATTGTTTGTAATAACGAGTTTCAGAAACAGACCTTGAGGTTCATCAACAAGAGAAGGGGTAAATTAATTGTTTATTTAGGTAGTGAAATACCAGGAGAGTTAAAATGAATGAACTAGAGCTACAAGTGTCAAAATGGATTGAATGTGAAGGATATCAGCAAGTTGCAGAAGACTCACTAGTCATACAAAATTTGAAAGCATGCAAAAATAGTAGGAATTATTTGTGGATATGTATTAGTATAATACAAGTATGAAAACGTCCGTGGAGCCCTGGCCAGGTGGCCCCGTGGGTCGGGCATCGTGCCGTACCGGAAGGGCGCAGGTGAACTAGAAGATTGTGAGTCCAATCACCAGTCAGGACACATGCGTAGGTTGTGGGTTTGATCCCTGGTCGGGGTGCCCGCAGGAGGCAACGGTCGATGTTTCTCTCTCACATCAGTGTTTCTCTTTCTCTCTCTAAAATCAATAAGCATATCCTTGGATAAGGATTTTTTAAAAAACTGGTGGATATTATAAACAACCAGGATGCAGGTGGTGGTAACCTAAAGCTGGGGGGGGGGAAGACACGGGGGGGACCTTTAATTGTGTCTGTAACATTTTGTTACTTCCTGGGGAGTGGGTAAGACTGGAGGGGGGCGTTTGGTATGACTGAGATGTTTCAACAAGTCGACCTGGATTTGTTGAAAGAAGTGACCTGGAAGGGGTCTGCCGGTGTCTTGAACTTGGGCCACTGCTGTGAGGGATGCAGACACAATAGCTGTTGTGATGGCAGGTCCCTCGGGCGAGCCAGCGACCTGGGGCAGTAGGCGCCCCAAGCCACGCCAGGCAGGAGAAGGCCCGGGGGAGGCCAGCGTTGGGTGCCCGGACTCCATCCTGAGCCTTCTGCTGTCGACGGTCCTGCCTCCTGTTCTCCACAGGGACCTTCCAAAGGACTCGCCCAGCGCACCCGCGGCGGCTGATGGTGCCTTCGCTTCCTTTTCAGGACAACCAGCGTCTGAGAAGTGAGATAGCAGGATGCCCCCGGGGGTGGACTGCCCCATGGAATTCTGGACCAGCGAGGAGAGTCAGAACGTGGCAGTTGACTTCCTGCTGCCCACTGGGGTCTACCTGAACTTCTCCGTGTCCCGAAATGCCAACCTCAGCACCATCAAGAAGGTATGATCTTGACCTTAAAACTAGTCCTTAGAGTTTGGAATGCAAACAGGCAGAGACACTCAGACTCACAGGGGTCGTTTCTCAGATTTGAGATCCCCGGGTACGAATTTTAAAAGCTATCAATAATATCCAAGAATTGTTTTTAAAAACTCGCAGTTAGCCCCGGCTGACGTGGCTCCATTGGCTGGGCATCATCCTGCAAACCGAAAGGTTGCTGGTTCGATTCCCAGTCGGAGCACATGCCTGGGTTACAGGGTCTGTGCTCAGCCCCACGTCGGGGCGCTGGCAGAAGGCAGAAGGCAGCCAGCCTATGTTTCTCTCTCACATCGATGTTTCCCTTCCTCCCTCCTTTCCCCTCTCTAAAATAAAATTTAAAAAAGTTAAAAAACAACAAAGGACCTTGCAGTTAGAGTCCGCCTGGCATTCCGAACTCGGCTTCCCCACATGGCGTGCGTGGTCCAGGGGAGGGCTCCGTGTGTGGCTCCCTGAGGCGTGCATTCTCTCAGTGAGTGCGCCCGTCCCTGTCAGCGAAGAGCCTTGCTGGCCGTTTGCCTTTAGAGCTGTTGTCCTGGTAAATGTCTCTGGAAATAGTTGTTGGTTTGGTTTGTCATGAGCGTAGGTTCGTGATGTCGTCTTTCCTATAAGCCAGCCGGGCACCTGCTCGGCCAGCTGCCTGCGGAGCAGCCTGGCACCAAGGAATAGACAAGTCACACACAGTAACAGTGCTATTCACTCAGCTTTTATTGAATGAAGGGTCACTCAAAGGAGAACATCAACATGCATCAATGTCCAACTCACACACTAACAATCTAAGAGGGACTATAACACCCACACACAGAGCAATCAATGGGGGATAACGAACCCGAGTCCCAGAGCCTCAGCCCGCGGGTTCAGGAGGCAGCCCAGTGGGCAAGGGGTTGTCGGCGTCTTGCAGGGAAGGGTCTCCGGAGCCAGGTGGGCGGCGGGGCAGGCGAAGTCCTCCGTCCAGCAGGGGCAGGGCCTCCGGCAGCCGATGCCAAGGGAGAGCGGCGTGGCGTGGAGCAGCGCCCTGGGGCGTGGAGCGCGGCTGTCTCTGCAGGGGTCTGGGGCCCGCCTCGGTTATACCTTGGGAGTGGTGGGCTCCACCGTTCTGGGCCTTTTCAATGAACGTCTAGGTACCCTTGATGCCAAGTGTGGGATTTTCCCAGGGGCCATGGGTAGTACATGGCAGCTCTGCTTGACACGCCTGCTAGCAAGTGTGGAACTTCCCCAGGAGCCTGTCTGTGGGTGGTCCCGCTCTGCAGACACGGCTGTTCTGACCATGTGGGCAGATATCTTAGGTGTGTGTCTCCTTGCCAGATGTGCTTACTTTGACTTGGGTAATTTTCTTCTTGAACCAAAGTGCCACGGCTGGCTGACCGCCATTTTAGTTGGCATAAGGGCCTCCACTTGGTTTTATGGGCTTTATGCCGCCTTCATCCGACCCCTGCCGTTTTATCGCCCTGCTCTCCACGTTGTTGAATAATTACCAGGGGAAGTGACTGAGTCAAAAGATTAGACACCTGGATAGCATTTCATAGTGACTGGCTTGTTCCACTTACAATGTTTGAAATGTAATGGGTCATCCCATAGGGCAAGACCTTAAGTCAGAATTTTAAAAGCTGTATTTCAGAGAAGGAAAAAAAAAGAGAGAAGCAGTGGACCATCCGTGAAGGTTTTTTGTTTGTTTTAATCCTCCCTTCCTGGGAGATTTCTTTAGAAATTACATTTTTTTTTTCTATTTCGAAAGTAATATGGGGGTGGGAGGAAAGCCCTGGCTGGTGTGGCTCAGTGGATTGAGTGCCAGCCTGTGACCCAAAGGGTCGCCAGTTTGCCTCCCAGTCAGGGCACGTGCCTGGTTGTGGGCCAGGCCCCCAGTAGGTGGCACTTGAGAGGCAACTGCACATTGATATTTCTCTCCCTCTCTTTCTCCCTCCTTTCCCTTCTCTAAAAATAAATAAAATCTTTAAAAAAGAAAAGCAATATGGACACACTGAAATTTAGCAACCTAAGGAAGAGTAGAAGAAAAAATTACCTATGATCCAGCTATGGGAGAGGACCACAGTTAACTGTTTTCTGTTTTATATACAATATAGTATTTTTTGTGTGTGATAAATGCTGAGTATGAACTTTTTTTTTTTTTTTTTTTTTCTCAGAGTTTCTTATCCTCACAGATTTCAGCACAGGTCTGTGAAAAGGTTCTCATCACAGAAATGAGTATGAACTTTTATATCCCTTTATTTCAGAGTTAACGTGATGACATCTTTTTCATGTTATTAACTTATAGGTAAATAGCATTTTACGGTTAATCTTATTTTTCCGCGTAGAGAGCTGAACACGCGCATATTCACTTTCAAACACGGCACAGATGTAAAATGTGTGGGTCACAGCAGTCTCCCCTCGCGGCCGTTCTCCTGCAAGTTCTTCATCTCTCTATTTATTTATGCCAGCAGCCAGACAGTCAGTATTCTAGGCTTCGCCCACTGTTGTGATCACCAGCTCTGCCTTGTGAGGCAAAGGCACCCTTAGACAATATATAAATGATGGGCGTGGCCAGCGTTCTGTAACCTGGTGGCTTGCCGACTCCTGATCTATGTAATCAATGTGTCTATTGTTGTTGTTTGATGAAATGGGTTTGAATGACCTCTGCTGCGGTACAGTTTCGGTGTTTTCCTCTTACCGATGTATCCTGGAGGGCCCTGTGGCACGGGTGTCCCTGGATCCTGGGTCCCGCCCCTGTGTGATCATGGTCTGTAGTTACCCATCTGCCTGCACGCGTGCTCAGGCTGTTCTCTCCTTGCTCGCTCTCTCCGTGACTTGGCGGTGAACACCTGTACGCTAAAGCTGGACTGCAAGGTGGCCCCCCAGCGATCCTCGGGGACACCTCGCCGGGAGGGCACACAGCCCGCAGGCGGTTCCATGCCCCCCTCGTGTGTTACACTTTTCTGAATTGGCTGTCAGCATTTACAGACCAGGGCAATGAACCCCGCACAGGTAGCTGGGGGGCCTGGGGGTCCGTCCGGCTGGCCGCCTCTCCGAGTGAGCAACCTACAGGACAGACTGGGACCCACCGCCCGGTTCCAGGTGTTGGGGCCTACGCGCCCCCTTCGGGGAGGGCGGTGACGGGGGCTCCTGGTCACTCGTGGGGCTGCAGCTCCAAGGGTCTGGAGAAGGCGGCCGCCTTGGGATCTTGCCATTACTGCCTTCTTGGAGGGGTCGCGCAGGGTGGGACCCCCAGACTGAAGCCAGCCTGCACCCACCTCCTGGCTCCCGGGGGCCCTGCCAGCCGGGCCGGGTTAGGGGGCTGACCGGCGACTGTCCTCTCAGGTGTTGTGGCACCGAGCCCAGTATGAGCCGCTCTTCCACATGCTCAGCGACCCTGAGGCCTATGTGTTCACCTGCGTCAACCAGACCGCGGAGCAGCAGGAGCTGGAGGACGAGCAGCGGCGGCTGTGTGACATCCAGCCCTTCCTGCCGGTCCTGCGCCTGGTGGCCCGCGAGGGTGACAGGGTGAAGAAGCTCATCAACTCACAGATCAGCCTCCTCATTGGCAAAGGTACCCCGGCCAGTGCGGGCCATGTGCTCCAGGCTGCCCTGTGCCCCCAGGGCGCGACCCCCGACCCCCGACCCCCAGGCTGACCTGGCTCCTCCCTGCCTCTCAGGCCTGCACGAGTTTGATTCTTTGTGCGACCCGGAAGTGAATGACTTTCGAGCCAAGATGCGCCAGTTCTGCGAGGAGGCGGCTGCCCGCCGGCAGCAGCTGGGCTGGGAGGCCTGGCTGCAGTACTGCTTCCCCCTGCAGCTGGAGCCCTCGGCGCGGAGCTGGGGGCCTGGCACCCTGCGCGTCCCCAGCCGGGCCCTCCTGGTCAACGTCAAGTTCGAGGGCAGTGAGGTGAGCTGTGGCTCCTGCTGGGCTGCGTCCAGGCCACGTGTCCACGGAGGATGCTGCCCTTGTGGAACTCCCCCGTCAACCACCAGCGCCACCCAAATTCACGCTCCCCCCTGTAGCATCAGATGGTATTTGTGGGGTATCCAGGCATCCCTGGGGCTCGGCCGAACATCCCACCAGGCAGCTCGGCAAGGCAGAAAAATGGGCTTGGTCACTGGTCTGTTCCTTCATTCAGCGACTGTGGCCTGGGTGTCGGCCCTGTGCCTGCCTCAGATCCTGCCCTGGCAGAGCTGACGCTCGAGGCGCAGGGCAGGCCTAATGCAGCAAGGAGGCAAGCCCGCCCCCACACCCCGGGACCGTGGCCCCTCCCCAGGGCGGAGGGCTGACCCTCCCTTCTCCCCCCCAGGAGAGCTTCACCTTCCAGGTGTCCACCAAGGATGTGCCCCTGGCCCTGATGGCCTGTGCGCTCCGGAAGAAGGCCACGGTGTTCCGGCAGCCGCTGGTGGAGCAGCCCGAGGACTATACCCTGCAGGTGAACGGGAAGCACGAGTACCTGTACGGCAGCTACCCCCTCTGTCAGTTCCAGGTGAGGGCTGGCGGCGAGCGGCCCTGGGCTCCTGGGTTCCAATGGCCTGGTCAGAGGCCTGGGGGGGTGGGGGGCTGGTTCCCTGGCCTCTCTTGAACCCAATGAGTCAGGCCTTTGGGGGTCACAGCCAGAGCGTCCTTTTGCTGTGGCTGGGCTGACCCTCCCTGTGGACAGAGGGAAGGCTGCGTCCTCAGGAGGTGGGTGGGGCCAGAAGAGCCGGCCGGAGAGGCCAGGAGGGCCGGGAAGAGGCAGTGGTCAGCATGGGGGTGTCCCCGGACCCCTACTCATCTGGGAAACGGGAGGGACTGCCCGTCGGCCACTCACTCTGCTCCCATGTCTCAGTACATCTGCAGCTGCCTGCACAGCGGGCTGACCCCCCACCTGACCATGGTACACTCCTCCTCCATCCTCGCCATGCGGGACGAACAGAGCAACCCCGCCCCGCAAGGCCAGAAACCACGCACCAAACCGCCTCCCATTCCCATGAAGAAGGTGAGCTGAGCCTTCCACTTACCCCGCCCTCCGTCCTTTTGTCCCACCTGCTGTCTGACCCTAGAGCCTCTTGGGCAGCGCCCCGGGCCGGCGGTGGGCCCGGGGCTCCTCGCCTCCTGCCCCTTGTCAGTCAGTGTTGAGAGCTGGGGCCTTGAGCCTGGGCAGCCAACACGGCCGGGGGTGCTGGGGGAGCCTGTCTGAATTTCCTGGGGCAGCTGCAGGCCTGGCTCCCAGCGGCTGTGCTCCTCACACTCCCCCTGCTTCCTGAACTCGGGCAGAACTCCGTGCCTGCAGGCTCAGGGGGTTGGGGCCCCTGGACCACCGCACAGCAGGTTTTCGGTTTTCTGGTAAAGGATGGCGTTGGCCATAGGTACCGGAGCCTCGCCACAAACCTGCAACACTGCCCCCTACCCCACACCCACGCGCCACCCCAGCCTCCGGATCCTTCCTCTGTAAAGGCCCCGCTTCTCCTCCCTCCCAGCCCTCCTCTGTGTCCCTGTGGTCCCTGGAGCAGCCCTTCTGCATCGAGCTGATTCAGGGCAGCAAAGTGAACGCCGACGAACGGATGAAGGTAGGGCGCCTGGGCCGCGGCGGGGGGTGCAGGTGTTTTTTGCACAAACAAGGTGGCTGTGGCCTTAGAGGGACGGCAGAGGAAGTGGCGGGGGGTCACACGAATGTGGCTGACCACATTACCCAGCATCCCTGCCCAGCGTGGTTGTGAGCTGCTTCAAAACAGGAAGGGGGGAGGGGAGCAGGTTGGCGGCCAGAGAGGCCGATTCGTAGAAACTGGGCCTAGCGAGTTCTAGGTACTTGACTTTGGTAGAGATCGTGGGGCCAGGCCCAGCCCAGGGATGTGGCAGCCACAGTCAGGCAGGGGACAGGCATTAGGAGAGGAGGCACGCGAGCTGGGCTGGGGGCCTTTTGGGGTTCCCAGGGGGTGGGGGGTGGGGGAGGCATGTGCCTGGACTCCTGGGGGCCAAGCCCTGAGTCCTTGGGACAGCCGGCTGGGTGCCGGCTTTATTGTTCTGTCTGCAGGCTGTGAAACCTGGATCACAGAGAGGTTGGGTCTCTGGGGAGTGCTTTTTTTGGGGGGCTAATTTCATAAGCAGGCAGGCAGGCAGGCAGGCAGGCCTGAGTTCCCCTGGCGGAATCGTGGAGGTCTGGATGCAGGCAGCTTTCTCTTGCGGCAGAGCGGGCCGGAGGCAGGGCCCAGAGCTCCTGAGGCATTAAATCCTTCCCCAGCCACGGGGTTCACGGGGCCCTGGGCAGTGGAGGGAGCCCCCGGGCGTTAGGGCTTGAAGGCTCCCTGGAGTTCCCGAGCCCAGCTGGGGAAACTGAGGCCAGAGCAGGCAGCAACGTGCCCTGGGGCCCCGCAGAGTCACTGGGGAGCTGAGACCAGTCCCCTATACACAGCCCACGGCAGCCTTCCCTCTCGCTCCCCCCGCTGCCCGGGCCCCTGGCCATCCGTCCCACCCAGGCAGCCAGCCCCACCGACTTCTGTCCCTATGCTGGACGTGGGATTCAGACCCATGTGGAATGACATTTCAGAAGGAGATTCGGGCTTTAGATGGGTGAGCGACTTGGGAGAGGCGAGGGGGCCGGGCCTCTGCCACCCAGCACCGACGCCATCCCCTCCACAGCTGGTGGTGCAGGCCGGGCTCTTTCACGGCAACGAGACGCTGTGCAAGACGGTGTCCAGCTCGGAGGTGAGCGTGTGCTCAGAGCCCGTGTGGAAGCAGCGCCTGGAGTTCGACATCAACATCTGCGACCTGCCGCGCATGGCCCGCCTCTGCTTCGCGCTGTATGCCGTGATCGAGAAGGCCAAGAAGGCTCGCTCCACCAAGAAGAAGTCCAAGAAGGCGGTGGGTGGGCTGGCTGGGAGGCGAGGGCCCTGTCTCAGGGAGCCCGTGCACTGCCTACTGGGCCCAGTCCGGTCCCACAGCCCCGGTGGCCGCTCAGCTGCACGGGCTCATCCGTTCCCCGCTCCTAGTCCGGCCACTGGCCCTGCCGTGCCCCAGTTCTGGGTTCCCGGGCTTGATTCGGAATGTCGGCTCAGGCCTCTGGTCCTCGTGGGAAGCTGGAGGTAGCTGCGGGGGGTGGAAGGAGACTCGCTCCCGCAGGCAGCAGGGCGGCCTGAGTCAGCAGCTGGCCGGGCAGGAGTGGTGGTTGGGCTCTGAGTCACGGGCCCCAGGACGTGACCGGCCACTGAGCCATGCCGACTCCGCCATCGCTGAGCTGGGCCAGCTTT